CCCTTGATGTGGGTCTCATACTATGTCATTGATGTGGGTCTTATACTATGTTCTCACTGTGGGTCTCATACTATGTTCTCACTGTGGGTTTCATACTATGTCCTTGATGTGAGTCTCATACAATACCTTCGATGTGGGTCTCATACTATGTCATTGATGTGGGTCTCATACTATGTCATTGATGTGGGTCTCATACTATGTCATTGATGTGGGACCCATGCTATGTTCTCAATTAGAGTTCCATACTATGCCCTTGATGTGAGTCTCATACTATGTTCTCACTGTGGGTCTCATACTATGTCCTCGATGCGGGTCTCATACTATGTCCTTGATGTGGGTACCATACTATCACTGCGCGAAAAGTGTTGAATACTGATTATATACTCTTGTATTTGTGCTTGTATTTGCTGTAAATACAACAACATTCAGGAAGATACAGCCATGTATTTATGGTGAATATACTAAAATACACACTGTATTGACATGTATATGCACTATTTATACAGAGAAAATACATTCTCTATATTTGTTTGTATTCATGGTGAATACAGCAATAGATTTGAATGTATTCTCTAATGCATATATGTTCTCACTGTGGGTCTCATACTATGTCCTTGATGTGGGTCTCATATACTATTCTTTGATGTGGGTCTCATACTATGTCCTTGATGTGGGTCTCTATACTATGTTCTCAATATAAGTCTCATACTATGTCCTTGGTGTTGGTTTCATACTATGTCCTTGATGTGGGTTCCATACTATGTTCTCAATTTGAGTTCCATGCTATGTTCTCAATGTGAGTCCCATACTATGTCCTTGATGTGGGTCCATATGTTCTCGATGTGAGTTCCATACTATGTCCTTGATGTGGGACCATGCTATGTTCTCAATGTGAGTCCCATACTATGTCCTTGATGTGGGTCCAATACTATGTTCTCGATGTGAGTTCCATAATATGTACTTGATTTGAATTCCATACTATTTCCTCTGTGAGTTCCATAATAAGTCCTTGATGTGGGTCCCATACTATGTCCTTGATGTGAGTCCCATACTATGTCCTTGATGCGGGTCCCATGGTATGTTCTCAGAGTGAGTCTCATACTATGTCCTTGATGTGGGTCCCATACTATGTCCTTGATGTGGGTCCCATAATATGTCCTCGATGTGGGTCCCATACTATGTAAACAATCAAATTAACAGTAATATCATTAACTCGTGCTGCCAGGCTTGTATGCCGTTTATTCGGTGTTATTTGCTTACTTGTATGCAATGTCAAAGTTTAAGTTCCTCAAATAAAATGGGCTATCCTAGCAACAGTTAAGTTTGAGTTGTTTAAATATGTTAATGAAGTAAGGTGTGGTGTTTATTATTTAGCCATTAAGTACTTGACTGTCACAATTACACAGCATACAAGGCACAGACTTACCCCATATATCAAGACATATTCCATGAGATTTTTACAGCCTTGTCAATATTGGCGTACTGTGGTTATAATTTAAGCATTATTGCATTATTGAGAGAAAAGTTTCTATTGACTGTAATGACAAGAAAAGGTTTCGCTTCCTGTTTTATATGAGATTAAAAAATAATAACGTTGTTTTAATTTTTTTGGTATAAATATTCAGAAACTATATTTTACAATATTGTTGGCTAACTGTTTTCGTTTTCTAGTAGCAGTAGCAAATAGCAACACAATAGATTTTGTTTATTCAGCAGTCACATGATATAATTAACGTTGATCAGTGTTATCATCATTTTTGGATAGAGTGTTGCAAGGGCTACAATAACATGTATTTTATATTTAAAAAAACAAACAGCAAAAAAAAATTGTGCATCACAGTACCATTTCTGTTTTCAGCCTAATATTTCATTAACTACTGTAAAATACTTTATTTTAGGTGGAATTTACTTTCACTGATTTTTGATGAGATGAAAGTAAAATATTGAAAAGAGGTATATTCGCTGGATTTTATTTTCACTGACCCCCCTCCCCTTCACTTCAGCGAAAATAGCAAAAATTAATTACAAGCAAAAATAAAGTATTTTACAGTAGATGAAATCATTTATGATCAGAACTGTTTTTCTAAATTTGATGCAAATTCTTAGTTCTAATGATTCCATTCCATACCAGAATGTTAAAATTTTGAAAATATCACACACAAAAAAACAAGTTGACATATTTTGGCTCAGTCTGTTTATGATAAGTGACAAAGAATCGTGATAAGATTAACAAGAAACCTCACCTTTTCAGAAACTGACAAACTTAATTACAGATTCACTCAACTTAGATTTAAAATAAAAACAGTTGTATTGTTGTATTTGTGTTTTAATACTTGGTCTTGTGCCAGCTCGGGTTTAACATGTCTAAACACAAGGTGATTTGGATGAAAACTGTACCCTGAGGACATTAACTCCAACTCTTTTGCTTGACTTGACTTCAAACGATGTCTGCGCTTAATCCACACATTATGAAGTATATTGTTACTGATTGTGTGTACATGTCTCTAGCCATGTTGATGACGTGGTAAGCTTTGTTGTTTATACCAATAGATAGGAGAATGTGTTCAACTCATTTAATCCTAATTGCTGAGTAGTATTGTGTAAGCCATGCAACTACAGTTGATGATTTTTCTGTGGCACACTCAATAAATA